GGCATGAAGCTAACTGCTCAGATCACTCAGGAAGGGGATGTGGACTGAGAAGAGAGGAAATCCAAGGACTAAGGCCTGGACCATATTACTGTTCTACAGATAGAGGACAAGGGGGAGAACCAAGAAGTGGATGGAGAAAGAATGGCCACTGGAGTAGAATAAAAACCAGAGATTGTGAGAGGTCTTGGAAGCAAAGAGGAAAAACGGAAGAATAAATGGCAAAGAGGAAAAAGGGAGAGAATAAATGACAATGTCAAACCCCGGTAACTCTACTTAAGGAGCTTCACTATAAGGAGTAGAAAACTGGGAGAATCAGTAACTCAAAAGACACATGGCATCAAGAGGAGGCTGTTTTTTACTTGATGAATGAAATGGCAAGATATTTGTTTAATGATGCAAGAGAAGAGGGGTCTCTTGCTGTTAGAACAAAGATTTTTTAAAAATTCAAAGGCAAATAAAACCAACAAATGTTAAGGTATAGCAATATAAGGTTATTCAAAGCAGAACTCAAGACAGGCATTAAATGGGATAGAAGTAAACGCACATCTATCTGACTGATAAACTATGGAACAAACCAAAAAAGTAGTTAAAGGTATTCACCCAAAGAATTCCCCAGATGAATTTATGCACAAGATTCTACAGGATCACTTCTTTGGATTTAAACTGATCAAGCAATAAAAAGCAGGAAGATATTTCAATTCATTCAGACTAGCAAAAACCTGATACTAAAAACTGACAAGGAAGAAGAAACAAAATGTATCTCTATTATGAAGACTGATACAAAAACCTTAAGTGTTAATAAAATATGGGTAAATTAAATTCAGCAATGTATTACAAGAAAAACAGAATCCCGATATGGTATATTCCAGAAATACAAGGATGGAAGGATGGCTCACCATAGACAATATGACTAGAATTAATCCTATTGTTATTTACAAGTAGAAAAATAATTAAAATTGTCTCCATGCATGTTAAAAGAGCGTTTAAAGTCAGTAACATTCAGAATAGCAAAAAGTTCTTAATTTAGGCATGGAAAGGTATTACCTCAGTATGATAAAGAATACCAATCCAAAACCAAAAGCCAATGAAAACCATATATAATGATAAAATACTAGAGGCATTACTAAATAAGTCAAGAATAAGAGAAAAATGCTAACTATCACAACTACATTTTAATAGTGTTCTGGAAATTTTAGTCAATGTAATATAACAAGAAAAAGACATTGTAAAAAGCATGACTATTAGAAAGAAAAAGATAAAATTGTCATTTTTGCTGCTGATATGGAGATCTAAGTAGAAAACTCAAAAGATTAAAAGGAAAAATTATTAAAACTAATGTTTTTTAAGTTCAGTAAAATGGCAGGATGCCAATGACATATAGGAATCAATAACTTTTTATAGACTAGACAGATTTCTAATTAAAAATTCTATTTTCAAAAGTAAGCCACCCCCATGGCTGATTCAAGTCAATGTATGGCAAAAAACCACTACAATATTGTAAAGTAATTAGCCTCCAACTAATAAAAATAAATGGAAAAAAAAAAAAA